TACAAAAATAAAATATTTAAATAACAATTTACTAAAATGAATAATTTTTGTCATGTTGACAACAATATAAACAAAACATTGTTGGTCATAGGGATTTTTGTTGCAAACCAAGAGGATAAAGAAAACGTTGGAGGCCCAAGCATTTTGTGTTGCTTTATAAATACACAAAAACTGCTTGACTAGACATTTTGTGTTGCAAAGTTTTAGTACACAAAAAATGCTAAGGATTTTGGTATTTTTTGTGTGTTGAAGTATTACAACACAAAATATATGACCCTAGACATTTTTTGTGTATAAAAAATAACACACAATGTCGTGTTAAGAAATTACGAGACCTTAGACAAATTTTAAATTTGAGTTTTATTTTGATATGATTTATTTATTTAAAATTTATTTTTCTAACTTCCTAAATCATAAAATTATATAAATAAAATTTGATAATTAAGTTATTTTAAAATATCACTCTATTATTATTTATTCAATCATTACTCATAATATATTTATATGTATATATATAATATTTTATTGATACAAAAATAAATATACATTTAAAAGAAACTAATTTAATTATAAACAATCATGTGTATTGTTAATAATATATTTTATGAGCATGACATGAATTTAAAAGAAATATTTTTTATTTTTAAATTAGAGAGTTTGTGTATATAAAGCCTTTTTTCTGTTCATATTGTTTATGGTGTGTTCTTACACTTTTGCTCTATGCAAATTTGGCTTAAGACTCCCCAAACTTGTTTCCAGCTTGTTTTCCTTTTTTTCTTTCTTTCTTTCTGTTGTGTAATTTCCTTATTAAATAAATCTGTTGTTATAATTTTTCTTGATGTGTTAATATTTACAATGTATTTTATAACAATGTTGATTGGACACGTTGGAGTTGATTAGGCATCGAACAAATGATGAAGATAGACTTCAATTGGTATATTGACATGTAAAAGTTTAAGTTAAAAATAAAGAGGAAGAAGAATATGTGCAATCTTAGTTGTCATCGCCTATTCTAGTGTATTCTAGTGTTAGGAACGACAATAATGAACAACAACAATCAACAATGTTCATTCCTTTGGGAATGTAGTTCTAACCTGAGCTCTACTCTAATACTTGGATCAGGGTTTGGAGTTTTAAGAAATTGACATTTAGAGCAACCTATGTCAACTCAATATTAAATATGATATTTAACACAAATTCATGGCGTTATGTTGTTTACTATATTAAATTCTGAGGTTAGTTTTAACTTGAGGACCAAATTGTCATGACTTTGAGTTGATAATATTTTTTAGTTTTTAATTGTTAATATTTTAGTTAATTCTAATTAGTTTATGGTGAATATAGATACTACAAGAAATATTACATATAGTGACATATAAAAAGTGTCATTATAGGTACAATATATATAAGTATATGTATACTTGACATATAGTTATATACAATTTTAGTGTTGATTTTGAATGAGATTTAATAACATATTTTGTGTGTCATTATAATCTATACCCACACTTTTTAATAATATACCAACATATATTATAACTATTGTATAGATAAAAAATAATTTTTAATGATATGTATAGTGTTATTATAGGGTGTGCGTCACTATATAACAATTTTGTTGTAGTGAGAATCTCTAAAAGTCACCTCTTCGAATAACATTAACTATAATTTTGAGTGAGCATCTACTATTGTTGCATTTGTTGATACTGTTACTCCAAATGACTTTGGAGATTTGACTGTTACATTGAAGGTAGTATCACTAAAAATAAATGTCCCTATTAATTATGATGAATGTGAATTTGTCTAAGAGTGATGTTAATTGTTCATTTTTAATAGTTTGCACCAATAATTTTTGAAATCCATAAGTACCATGAGTGTTAGTATATATTGTAAAGTTGCACAACACCTACATTATGAGAAAGAAAATATAATTGTTGATTGTGTGTTAGTTTTTCAAGAGGTATTTTTTTATTAATGTAAATTTGAAGCATAGTTTATGTCAAAATTTAATTTTGTTCATATTGTGTCAGATTGTTACATCTAATCCTAGATTTAATCTTGAATTTCACAATGAGCCATCATTCTTAAACATAAAAAGAATAACATTAAGATAATATGTTAAAGCACAATTGATTTTTTAATTATAGTTAATTTTGTATGGATGAAATTATCTTTATTTACTTACCGTTTATTTTAAAGGATATTTAATAGGCAAGATAATATTAAGTTGTAATTTTAATTTGTCATAATTTATTTTAGTGAATGTAATTTAAATATCTATGAACTTATATTTTAATGACTATTTGGTATTAGGTATGTAATATTTGATGTAAAACACATCTGTTTGTCGTGTTTAATCTTTTATAAAGTCTCGATTGATTAATTATGTATGATTAATTAAAAGTTTTTTTTTATTCATTACAATAAAGGTCATCATGTATAAAATAACACAATATACATTAACAAGGATAATTTGTAAGACATACAACAGACATTATATTTAATTATTGCTATTACGTATATTGTATTCTTCAGTCAGGGGAGAACAAATTCTACAATTATGCCTTTGAATCCTATATTTTAAAAGTTTCCCCCAACGTATGCATGTAGAATGTAAATTGCCAAATATTAATCATGGCATGTGTAATGGAGCCCACGTACAGCATGTGCTTTGTCACGAGTCATGAAAGTCAGTCAGGGTAGTTTATATCGGGAGGTGATTACTGATTAGTTGCTTAGTTTCTATTTATTTTCTTATATATTTTTTTTTTGATAGGCAAATGTTAGTAGTTAGTAATTAGTAGTTATCTCCGCTGGGTCCTAGGGGGACTCGAACCTCCATCCTGCCTTATCCCTCCAGCCCCAGGACTACCTCCTTTTACCACCAGACCACCTTATCACTCCTTATTTATTTTCTTATATATGCAAAATATATAAATAGAAATTAACCAATTAGATATAGTGTTCTTAGTATTTAATTCTGATTTGTACGGTGTATTCGGGTTTTTTACCTTGTAGCAAGTTAATATATCTCTTTCTTTTGCTGATAAAAAGAAATAAAAATAGTTTATATAGGTTCAGCCTTCAAATACCGCAATAAGCGCAAACGTGTAGGAAAAAAAGTCTTTCAATACACCTCCAAATTTCTTTCAATTACCATTCAAATTAGGCTAGATATCACATATAGACCATATATCATAAATAACTGTCTAACATTTTTTTAATCTAATCATATAATTTATACTTCTTTCTTTCATCTCTTATGACCAGTTTCGAAGGAAAAATAATAGAAGAGAAAAAATTAGAAGAATCACATTCTTTCTATTAACTGTTTGAATGGTTTAAAGTACGAGGAAAGATTTAAAAAATACGTGGAACTCACAAATTATGTTTTCTATCCAAAATGAAGAAGAAAGAGAAATGTTTTATGTATTATATGACCAAAATCATATTAATTTTGTATATTTTTTTTAGTATGAATACTTATGTCATTTTATATATTTATTTGACTTTTTTTTTTTTAAAACTTACAAAATTATCTTATTTTCTATTTTTTTTCTCTCTTTTACTTTCTTTTCAAAACCAACACACTTAATTTTAAGGTGTCAAAGAGTATGAATTATGCATATGCGTTTCTATTTTTCAAATTAATATGCCAAAAATAAGACATACCCAAGGGAAAGGACAAAAAGAAAAAAAAAATATTACTCCTTCCGTCACATAACAAGTGTCATTTCAAGTTATTTTACATAGATGAAAAAAAAGTTAATAAATAGATAAAATAATAATAATTTAACCAAGTTAACCTTATGATTGATCTTTTTTTCTAAAAATAATGTAATACAAAAATAATTTTCTATATAATATTATTAGGAGTATAAATGGAAAAAATATACTCTCTTTGTTCTCTATTATAAATAAAAAAAATAATTTTAATTTTAAATATAAGTAAATTTTAATTATTTTATGTTATTTAATAATATTATTTCTAAAATATCTTTTTTAATGTATGGTTTGGTTGAACTACTTTTTCTTTTCTTCAGAGGTCAAACGCACAAGCTACGATGTTGTGACTTCGCCGTCCATTGCCACATGAAGAGATAATATTCAACGTATTTGGCTCATGCATGGACCTAGAGTAGAACGTGGGGAAGAAGGCGCATGCTGTGACAAAAATTTGGAAAAAATATCCACAATCCTACGTGCCGCTTTTAACTGATGTCGATGATTTACGCGGTATTGACGATGAATTTGAAACACTGAAAAAATAACAGAATGCATTGTCAATAAACACGGAAATTAGCTGTATATAACACAACTAATAAATGCAATAAATTTTCTTATGGTTGACAAGAATGTTGGAAAATGTCATACTGTTAACATTTCTATAATTAATACATCAAATCTAAGAACCCAACCAATACCATTGACTAAAACGTAATCCGATAGCTGTCACAAAATCAATATCAGACTTCGACAAAAGGAGATTGCAAGGGACATAAAAGATCTACATTTGGATGCTGACATGTTGCCCGTTTATCAATTTTTTTCGCATTACAATAAATGTTATATATACTAATATATAAAAAAATGTCATTGTAATATATAATATATATACCGGTATAAATCTATTAAATATATTGTTATATTTAATTTTAATGTTAATTTTAAACGAGATTTAATAACATATTTTATATATTTTTATAATATATATTTATATTTTTTAATAATATATTAACATGTATTATATTTATAATATAAATAAAAATAAATTTTAATGATAAATATTATATCATTATTAGATGTGTATACTTTTTTTTAATGGTGTGAAACGTGAAGGTATTGTGAGCATGCTTCTATAGTGGCGTAGACAAAATTAAAACAATATAAAAGGAGACACCGAATAACGCGGATGATAATTACGTCCCCAATCAGTCATCAAATTTGTGTTATCTATAACAATTAATAAAGAAATACTCTTGTTTATATATAAAAAAATTATAAAAATAGTGATAATAAAGATTGAACCACCAACTAACTCTACTGATGTGTATATATAGTCTAGTTTAAGCTCTACGTTTGTTTGAACAATATTTAATCCTTCAATTAGTTCTGTAAATATTATCTCACTGCAATCTATTTCACCATCGCACACCAATTATTTCTATTAATGAATTAACTTATAAAGGGAGTTGGGCATCCATATATTACAAAATTAAAAACATTATCTCAGCGGCCTGATAGAATTTCTGAGAAGGACATGTCATAATAAGTGCCTTCATAGATCATGTCACAACCTTCTTCTTCATGGGTGGAGGCAGCAGGGTTCCACTGCTGTACAAGAGGAACCAAGACATTGACTGCATGCCCCATATCCGGCCTTTGATGTGGTTCAGGAGCAGTGCAATGGCCTGCAAGCTCAGCCACTTTACATATGCTCTCCATGGTTTCCTCATCAAGGTTCAGAGTTTGATCAGTAGCCATTGAGATGTTTTCCACGTTAAGTAGTATCCTACGGAACCATGAACCCAAGTGACACATTTCTTCATGCACAGTATTGTCCAATGCCTTTCTACCGCTAATAAGTTCCATCAAAACTATTCCAAATGCGTACACGTCTACTTTGGTCGTCACTCTTCCCGTAGCTGCACAAGAAACAAGATCGCATTATTTACAAGTAAAGGAATATTTTCATGCAACGCAATCGCGTTTGATGCAACAAGAATCTAGCTCAGCTACAACTGTGTAGGAAAACATATAAATTTTAGCTAGAAAAAATAATCATGAAGCAAGAAAACTAAATGGAAATATTACGAGAAGAAAAATGTCAATTTAGTTCCAAAAATATTCAGGGATATTGATTATTTTCTTTCCAACTGTAGCAGTAACCTAATGATAGTTAAAACCAAAAAAATGAAATAAATAAAAAGTTAAAAAAAAAAAATCTTAGAATCAAAGGCTTTCCAAATATACCCGCATATTCAGGTGCCATATATCCAAATGTTCCTGCCACTCGAGTCCAGACAGAATCCTTGCCATCATCTGGGGCATTTTTAACCAAACCAAAATCTGCAACCTTTGCTCTTATGTCATCACCCAATAATATGTTTGAGGGTTTTAAGTCCCTGTGAATGAAGCTTTGCTGAGCTAAGCTGTGCAAGTATTCGACTCCTCGTGCTACATCCAAAGCTATTGTCACCCTTTGTTTCCAAGTCAAAGGTGTACAACCATTTTCACGCCAATAGAAGAGATGTTGTGTTAATGTCCCTTGAGGCATATACTCGTACACCAAAAGCCTTTCGTTGCCGTCAATGCAATATCCTAAAAGAGCCACCAAATGCCTGTGCCTTACTTTACTGAGAAATGCAATCTCTGCTTGGAACTCATGCATTCCCATACTTCCTATTGCACTAGATTGCATCCTTTTCACAGCAATTTTAGTTCCGTCATTCAATTCCCCTTTATAAACAACTCCAAATCCTCCCCGACCCAAAATGTTATCTTCACTGAAATTATTCGTTACTTGCCGAAGAACTTGGATTGACATGGTAACACTTTCACCTTCAAAACTTGGAACACGTCCTTTTCTGCTTTCTAGATTATTAACCCTTCCGAATTTCCCATGCCGTTTTATAAAGACAAATACCACGACTACAACAAAGAACACAGCAATAATGACTATACCTGCAATCCAAGCAGATGAAAGTGAAGAACCACTCGACCCCGCGTTTGGACTTCCACTCGGTGCATCACCAGAACCCTTCGACGGTGTAGTTCCACCGCCACCACCACCAGAACGCCCAAGTAAATCATTACCTGCAGCATTGAACCTCACCTTGCTTGAGAACTTGGGAACATCACCGGATAGATTATTATTAGACACATCCAGAACCTCAAGCTGAGCTAAACTCGTCAAGCTCCCCGGGATTGAACCTTCCAAATTATTATCACTAAGATACAAGTTCCTCAAATCAGTCAAATTAGCAAACGTAGGTGAAATCGTTCCCGTCAAATTCTGCTTAGCCAAATTCACCGTAATAATCTTCCCCTCCGCACACACAACGAAACTCCAATCATTACAGGGATCATTCCCCGACCAGGAATTCGCCAACTTAAGGGGATACCCGAAATCCTTCGCAATATCAAGCATGGTGGTGACACGAGAATCACAGGGTCCAGCATCTTTCCGACAAAAGCTATTGATCCCGTCGAGAGTGAACTGCACACCTTTCCCAAAGGAAGGAACAAGACCCTGAAGCTTGTTGTTATCCAGAGAAACATTCTGAAGGCTTCTAAGTGACATGAGAGAAGGTGGAACCACACCGGTTAACTGGTTGTTCCGAAGCTGCAGATCAAACAAACTAGTACAATTCGACAAATCCGGAATGGGACCAGTGAACTGGTTCTTGTGAAGCCAAACCTGAGACAAGTGAGTCATCCTAGAAAGCACGTCAATGGGACCTGAAAACCCAGAACCGTCCTTCTGATTGTTGAGCCATAGATTCGTAATCCCAGATCCCGCGAAGGACTTGGGTAAGACCCCAGTGAGGTTGTTGTAAGAGAGACTAAGTTCCTGCAAACTCACGAACGAGTCGAACACATCAGGTAAGGAGCCAACGAGGTTCGTGTTAGCGAGGTCGAGGTTAGCGAGGATGGTGGACTGAGTCAACTCGGCGGGAATCGTCCAGGGAGCGAGGTGGATGTTACTGGTCATGCTGAGGGACTGCAAGCTGGTGAGACCCTTGAAGCAACCATGGGGGATGGAGGTGAAGTTGTTGGCGTCGAGGATCACAGTTTGGAGCATGGAAAGGTTGGCGAGTGAAGGCAACGCGCCGGAGAGCGCGTTGTTTTCGAGAGCGAGGGTAGTGAGTTGGGAGAGCGAGTTGAGGTCTGGAGGGAGTGTTCCACTAAGGGACATTGAAGCGAGGTTGATTTCGGTGACGCCGTTGGTGCTGCACATGACGCCCTTCCATTCGCAGAAGTTGCTTCCCGACCACCCTGACGGCGTTGGACTCAAGGCTTCGGCTAGTTTTGACATATACGCTCCATCCTCGGCAATGACGGTGCACAACAGACTCAAACATAGCAACACTTTATAGTTTGAGTTTGAGACACAACAATTCGGATCAGCCATGAACAAGTATTGATTTACGACCGACCCAATTTCTACGGTATCATACTTTGAAAGGTTTTCATACATCTCATCCATTTTAGTATCAATCATATTTTATATTTTAATACTAAAATTATTTTATTTTCAAGTCACTCTCCCTTTTAGAATGCACTGCACCTCTTCGTTCCTACAAAATTCCCAATCACCGGAACTTCTTCACCATGTACACTCCGGTCGTTTTCACTCGCCCAAGCCTCACTTTTAATTTAAAATATCTTAAAATAAAAAATATTTTTAATTAGGAATGAAGTAGTAAATTATAATTGACAATTTTTTTTAAGTTGTACCTTATATAAACAAAATTTGTTATAAAAATTGACTTTTTATTATTTTTTTTAATTAGTCTTTTTATTGATTCATTTTATACAAATTTTTAATTTAAAATTTATGTTATTTTAGATTTATTTTTAAAATTTATTTATTCACATAATTTAATGTATCAAAGTCATTTAAATTTTATGGGTATCATAACAGTTTCCTATAATAAAAGGTAAATTGTGCAGCCGGGGTATTATTCGAGGAATCAGGTTTTTCGTTCATATAATTGATTTTAATTTTTTTTGAATTGTTAGAATATTATTGAAAGAGGAGGGTAGAGCCGTCAAAATGAGTCGTGGCCCGTGGGCCAACCTGGCCCACCTAGAAAATGGGCCGGGCCGGGCCAAAATAAACAACAGCTTTATGGTAAGTAGGTAACTTTAAACCCGGCCCACTTTTACCCGGCCCACTTAGGCTAAACCCGTGGTGGGCCGAGCAGCCCACCAGCCCACTTATTTTTTTTATTACAACTGAGCCAACCCAAATACTAAATAGGAACAGAGACTCAGAGAGCATAAAGTGGAAAAATTGAAAACCCTATTCTAGCAAGGAAGGGACCACGCCACTCCGCCTTCAGCTTCGGCATCACGAAGGCTCTCTCTGCTTCACTGCTTCATCTTGGTGCCCCTCTACACTGACTCTGACTCTCCCTTTGCAAGTGGCTTCAACTTAACGAAGGTGCCCCTCTTCACGACTCTGACTCTGTTGCTAAGTTTCATTTCTTTTTCTCACTTTGTAATTTGGGGTTTAGGTTAGATTCCTCTCCTATCATTTGAGGCAGTGTTATTAAGATTTGAGAATATGGCCCTTTCAAACCCCAAGAGATTAGACGTGAGCCTAAATTGACAAATGAATATTTTTTTGATATGATTGCACGCAGCTAGACCGATTAATTAACAAACCTTAAACCGAAAACTTGTGTCGAGCGTGCAGGATAGTCCAACAACGCCGGCCATGTTAGAGAAACCTATCATATGATTACAGTTGCTATTCATCTAATTAAAATATACTTTACTTTTTTTTTATGCTATTTATTATTATTATTATTATTTTGCAAAATGGTTTTATTATGTGGTGAAGGCGTGATTGCAATTTCGTGTCTGGGCGGTGGCTCTTCTTGGTTCTTGCAACTCAAATGCTTATTACTTTATTTATTTTATGATATTTTTTGAATTTTATAGAATTTATTAGTTAGATGACAATTTGCAAAAGGATGGTAATTGGTAAAACAATCTACAAGGCTAGGATATATAGAAGTTGGGCAGGTAAAACAATTTATTATTATGATTATTATGTTATTTGAAATTTGATTTTTTTTTTTGGTGGGTTGGTGGGCTGGCCCGTTTGACCCACCAACCTGTGGTGGGCCGAGCCGGGCCATAAAAATTCTGAAAATATAAAAAGTGGGTCGGGTTGGGTTGGCCTGTTTTTAAGGTGGGCCAAAGTGGGCTGGCCCACATGGGCCGGGCTGGCCCGTTTTGACAGCTCTAGAGGAGGGTGATAATAATACCGGTGTAACTTTTACTAAGTATTACACTGTTTAATAACCATATATTAAATGTGAATTTTGTAAACTCAACCGTTAAATTGAAAGTTTATATTACTTTTATATGTATATCAAATTTTGTTAAAATTGAACAAGAACTTGAAATAATCAAAGTGTTCATATTTTAGTATATTTTGAAATGTATATATTACGTTAATTTTGTTTTATAAAAATGAGGTATCAAATCATCTTGGATTAATATAAAATTTTGTATATATAATTTTAGAGTAAATTAAGAACTTTTAACTTAACAATTAGATTTACAAAATTCATATTTAATATAAAGTTGTTAAGCGATATAATATTTAATAAAAGTTACATCAATATTTTATATTGAAATATATGTCTAAATTAATTTCATATTCACATATTTTTATATTAGAATGTGTTTGTCTAAATTCAGGGTTGTGTTGGGCTGTTTATGTCGGCGAATGGTGTGACCCATATGCAAGTATATTGCTTTATTAGTTTATAAACAGAAAAAAAAAAACAATAGAATGGGTTATTTAACATATAAATTTAATTGAAAGATGTATAAAAGAAAAAAAACAACGATGATGTAAAGATATATAGTTAAAAATTTAGACAAACAAAAGATGTATAAAGTTAAATGGAATTTATACAACAATACTAACATGTATCAACGAATTGAATATTATAGAAAAAAATGTACGAAGAAATTTACAACATCAAAAGAGACAGAGAGAAAATAATTAAAAATTGAAATATTATAGACAATGAATAAAAGATAGAGAAAAAAGATTATTATTATTGTTTTTAATATGGTAAAAAAAAATTTCATGACTTCGTGTATTTAAAAAATATAGCTTGATTTTTCCGTGGGACTTTTGAGTTACATCTTCATTAGCTTCAAACGTGGCTGGAATTTTGGTGAGGTTGTACGTAGCTGAAGGAAGGGATGCAGGGATGACCTGTCTGGAAGACTGGAACTGATGTTATTAAAAAGTTATAGCTAATTATACTATATTGGTATATATATATATATATATGTTTATTTCATGAATAAGTCTATCTAGATTTATTTTGTTCAATAACTCATGTTTTACATCAAATTTCAACGATCCAACCGTTGAGTTTAAAGTTCTTAATGCCTAGATCAAATCTACAAATTTTTAAAAAATTTGAAAATTATTTGATACTTTGTTTCATTAATTCAAATCAATGCATAAAATAATTTTATGATTATCCGTCAATTTGAATTAACGAAATGAAGTATCAAATGACTTTCAAATTTTTTAAAAATTTGCAAACTTAATTTATGTATTAAGAACTTTAAATTCAACGGTTGGATCGTTGAAATTTGATGTGTGTGTGTATATATATATATATATATATGAGAAGTAGGGATGGCAAATATACATGTACCCGCGGGTAATACCCGAATCCGTCCCGACTTTGACGGGGAATATCCGGTTTGACCGGGTACGGGTATGGGTAAAACCCGATATGTTAAATCGGGTACGGGTACAGGTATGTACTTACCCGCCCCGTACCCGTACCCGTCCCCGTTCCTATTTTTAATTTAATACTCACTTTCAATTAATTATATTAAAGAATTTTAATATTTTTTATGTGTGATTATTTATTATAATATGAGATAAATAAATAACTTAATTATAATTAAATATAATTAAAAAAATAATTTGAAAATATTATATTTTTAAAAAAAAATAAGCGGGGACGGGGACGGGTATCATGAAACCCGTAGCCGCCCCGCCCCGTTGCCATCCCTAATGAGAAGGGATCCGTTTACTCTAGGAGTAAGTCTAAGTAGACTTACTCCGTTTAATAACTCATGTTCTACATCAAATTTCAGCGATCTAACCGTTAAATTTTAAGTTCTTAATGCATAAATTAAATCTATAAATTTTTAAAAAATTTGAAAACTATTTGATACTTCGTTTTATTAATTTAAATCAATATATAAAATGATTTTTTGATTATCTGTCAATTTGAATTAATGAAATGAAATATCAAATAATTTTAAAATTTTAAAAAAATTTGCAAACTCAATCTATATATTAAGAACTTTAAATTCAATGCTTAAATCGTTAAAATTTAATATAAAATATGAGTTATTAAGTAAAATAAGTCTCTTACTTCTAGAATAAACGAATCTCTCATGTATATACATGTGTTGAACGATAGTCGCATGACATAAAGCCATGAGGACTAGTTAGATTCTTTGGGATAATGACTGTTATTTTAATTTGCTTCATCATAGACTTTCTATGCCTAATTAATTCAATCCTCTTTAATTTCGTTGTGTTTAATTTATTTTACATTCAAATTCCGGTGGTTATATTGGTGATAATTCTTGCAAGGGAAACGGGTTTGAACCTAGAGCTTTCTGAGATTCACGTTAATTTATTCTATTAGAAATTTGTCAAAAATTCTCTTTTTTTAATAGATATTTTTTTTACCAATGAATAATGTACGTTAGAAATTTATGTTTTTCTTATAGTAGTGATTGCACAATACGATTCTTAGGAGAATAAAATTATTCCATTAGAATCAAAATTGCACAATTTTATAGGGATAAAAACATAAATAGAAAAGAATAACAGAAACAAAAGATTAGCAGATGTTAAAAGGACTGCCGGTGCTAAATAATTAACTTTGAATTGTTCATGCCATAGCTTTCAATAAATTAGAATCCTCAGGTTAATTGCTGCTGATTTACGTGACTTTGATTTGGTCAAATAACATGCGAAAAGCACCATTATATTACCTGCTGCCTGCTGGGTAAGATCTACAAGGGCATGATATTTTGCTTCAGCAGAAGAACCAGAAATCATAGGTTGCTTCATGCTTTTCCAAGAAATGGGACTTGAGTCTAACATGGTATAAAATAACCAATAATAGATCAACGAGTAGTAAATAACCAATAATAGATCAACGAGTAGTAGGACAACCAGTAATCAGAGTCAGCATATTCAACTAAAGTAATAGAACTAGATGAAAAAAGAATAAACCTTTACTTACACTACCTTTAAGATATCCAAGGAACTCGTGTGACTGCATCATCAAGATGGGAAGAGCATAGGGATTGCATGAATTGACTAAGGGTGTTAACTACATATTGAATATCAGGTCATGTGACCGTGAGATATAAAAGGTCCAACAAGGCGATGATTAGTTAGATCAAGAAGAAGAGTGCCATCATTTGGCCGTAAATAAAGATGTTGCTTCATAGCAAAATCAAATGGTTGACAAC